GTTTAGAAGTTTGTAGGCTTAGGTTTGGGGTTTCAGAGTCTAGAGTTTCGTGTTTAGTGGTCAAGCGAACTACTGTTTCGGGCTTAGGGTTGTTCGCAGATGCTGTGTTTGTTCGGGTTTGCTGTCTACCGTTTTCGGTTCAGGGTCGAGGCCCTAAACCTTAAACCCTAAACTCTGAACCCTTCGCCCTAAACCCTAAACCCTAAACCAATGAAGGGTTTTGAGGATACTGCTGGGTCACACGCCTCGGGTACAGACTGGCGGTGCGCACATTCCTGCAGAATGTTCGGTTAAAACCGGCTCCAGGCTGCAAAAAACATGGTTTTAGGGTTTAGGGGTTTAGGGGTTTAGGGTTTAGGGGTTTAGGGTTTAAAGGGTTTAGGGACCCGAGAAGGACATAAGCATAAACATGTTTATAGGGATATCCCTACCCTTATTGGGCTTCGAGAAAGGGCGCTTGTATGGGATATCCCTATCCTAATGTTTGCTTCTGTGCTTTTCTGGTGCCTTAGACATGAAAGCTCGAAGATTCTATCTGGCATGCCCTTCGTGATCCTTTAAGCTGAAGAACTTCAAATCGCATGGCATGGCCTTAGGTTCCCCACATGAACCAGAAAGAACCTATAGGAGGCCTGAGAAAGGTAGTAGGTTATTTGACTCCTAAACCTGTAAGCCCGAAATCCCCCTAATATGAGGGCCTGAATAATTCGCATAGGGTGTAGGGGCCAATTATACTCTACTACAACAAGGAACTCTAAGGTAATTATTTAGGCTTCTATATTAAACACAAAGGTGAGCCCTAAACCTCTGCAGGTTTCTTGCGCAGAGCAACGTCGACGAGCTGGTCGACACTCTGAGGCACCTGCGTTGTCGGGGCGGCCCCCCAAAACCCGACACCTTGTGAAGGCCGTCGTGCCCAGCTTAGGGCGGGTGTAGCCCTTGATAAGTCTACGTAGGCCAGTATATGTGTATATATATATATATGTATATGTATATACATATATATTTGTATATAAATTTGTTTAGAAAAAAAAATATATATATATATATAGATAAGGGAACTTAAGGCGCATGTATTTATAGATGGAGCCTTAGGGCAGGGCTGAGCCCAGAGTCCCAATAAGCACAACCGACGAGCCTCAACCCTAAACCCGAAGCCCTGCTGATAACTCACATTTAGGGTTTAGGGTTTGGGGTTTCCACGACTTGGAGGTTCATGGGTAGTTACTAGTGCAGCTTATGTTTAGGGTAAGGATACAGTAGTCATAATATATAACACATTTCATCGTGAGCCTCTAAGTATTCCTGGTTAACCCTAAGCCCCTATACTAAATCCTATGCCCCGACCTTAAACCTACAAAATCAATACCGATCAGCTCTAATTACAAGCCCTATGAAACCTTAGACCCTGCTCCCACTTCTCAACGGGTTTAGGGTTTAGGGTTTAGGGCGTGGCTGAGGAAACGGGTCAAGCAGGTGGAACAATGATGGAAGGAGGACAACAACAACAACACCACCCCACAGCAGCAACGACGGCAATAACCACAACAACAGAGGTACAAACAAAAACTGGAGTCCCGTCAACCCATACATCTGCGTTTTATCTGTACACTAGGTAGAGACAAAAGCAGGAGACCCGTCATGTTGTTCTACCCCCCCCCCCCTAACAACAACACCACAGTGGTTATGGTGTACAGGATTTGAAGGATTTGCAGACGGTTTCCAAGGATGTCAAAGGATTTCCAAGATTCTATGTCCCAAGGAATTTCCAAAGGATATTCCAAAGGATTTCCAAGGATGTTCAGAGTATTCCCGGTTTATCTGGGAGCTTACGGTAGGTGTCCGTTCACGGCTGTCTAGGCTTAAACACTTGCGGCTTTCTGTTTTTGAGATTTTGGGACCCTAAACCCTAAACCCTAAACCCTAAACCGTTTAGGTTTGGGCTTCAGCTCTGGGCTGCAGCACCTACAGCCCACGCTTTCCAAAGCATTAAGATCTTGTTCAATGCCCTTCCAAGAACAACAACGGCCCTTCACAATTCCCAATAAAACCATCAGCATCATCACATAAAATCCTTCCAAGTCCCTATTGAAAATTGCAAACGAACCTTTGCAAAACCCCATTAAAACCCATAAACCCCATGAAACCCTGCAGAATCCCATCACAATGACCGGTAAAATTTAAGTCCTTGCAAAGCCCATGAAAGCCCTTCTACACATCGAAGATTCCCATACCCAAAATGGAAACTTGGCATAGTGTGGGCGGTTGTTGTACAAGGGGGGGGGGTCAAAACAACAGACGGGGCTCCAGTTCTGTATCTACCTTCTTGTTGTTGCCGTTGTTGTTGTTGGTACAGACAAAAACAGCAG